GATCAAGGAAACGTGCACAAACGGGGCAAAAAAGGAACGATCGAAATAACCACACTCTCCCCACTCACTCACTCACTCACTCACTCACTCACTCACTCACTCACTCACTCTCTCACTCACTCACTCACTCACTCACTCACTCACTCACTCACTCACTCACTCACTCTCTCACTCACTCACTCTCTCTGTCTGACGCACTGATACACTGTACCGCATGTTTGGAGGTCTGCGCCTGTCCGGGGAGCTTGGCGGTGCAGGACGGCATGCACGTGGTGACAGCAGGCCCTGGGCAGAGCATGAGAATCATGGCAGGAGTAGTCATCACTCAAAAGCAGGTGAACATCTGACGAAGGCCTAGGGTGGTCTGGCTGAGAGCACAGAATCTGTCAGCTCTTGACATCCCGAGGTCGAACCCATGTAAGGCGCTAAGCCTCCCTCCTCGACAATCCTGCGCAGTGCAAGAGCTTCAATACTAGCCTTGCGCCATATTCAGCCACACAGGTATGCATGGAAGCTTTTACCTGTGCTGTGGCGAGGCGGGACCAGCACATACATGAAGTCCGCGCTCTGCAGGTGGCTTCACCTTCCAGAATCCGCCGGTGTTCATGGACCGCGAGCATCCGAGGAAGCGGGACGCAGCTTTCGAAGTGGAAGCACTCCTGGATCACCTTGTTCACTACCCGAGCCTCGGTGGCAAGGCTGCTAAGAGCCACAGTCTCGCTGCACCAGTACTCACTTGTTGATGTGGGACGGGTCGTGGAGAAAGGGCCTCTTGCACTTTCGAGGGCGGGGAAGAGGAGGGAAGGGAGTGAACGGGAAGGAAAAGACAGAGATGGCTAGAAGGTATCACGAAAGGCTCAGCCATAGTCGCCATTACAGAATAATTTTGCAGGAATCATGGCCCAACCATGCGTGCTTGGCCAGCCAGTTGCAGGCCGATAGTGCGTGCACTTAAGGCACCGCCTGCAGCAGTTGCCACAGATTCACCTTTGAAAAACAACAGTATGGTACGCCCCGGCGGCGTGCATGTGTGACAATCGCATCATTCTTCACACGCACCTGGGGTTTACGAAATGCTGTGGATTGCCACTTAAAGTTTTGACTTTTCCCATTCCGGAATGATTTACGACTTGTGTGGGATATCAAGCCCTCGATCTGGCTGCTGTGACTCCAGGGCTAGCTGCTTCTCCTGTATTGGATGTGCCGTTGTTGCGGCCTGCCCTTAGCTGCAATGTATTACCTAGAAGTTACGACGCAACGATGGAGGCCAGCTTAGACTTCGCCTTTGTGCCATGCAGTATATGCAGTTCGCACGTGAGGAATACGCCAATCTTCATCTCGTATCGCATCATCCAGCGCTTCGTCACGTCGAACCCGACTTCCGAGTATGTGCTTGCGGTTAGCAATGCCTTCCAGACTGGCGAGTACAACGGCTACACGTGCTCCCTGCTGGATTTGGGATGCTTTGGGCCGGAACTCGGAAGTTTTAGGGGCAAGATCGCCGAGTGCCTTCTATTGGTCTGAGAACTTTTATGCGGCACGTAGCGTAGCTGATGAGCAGGATTCGAGGAAGTCTATCCTGCCCCGCTCTGCCCTCAGTGACCCCGTGCCGACGTCGCGAATCCAAGCCACGGGCAAGAGGCAGGCGTCACCCAGCGGAAACGTGTGTCAGCGAATCTCGTCCTTAAGCAAGAAGAAAGTTCAGAGTCCCCTCCTAACTCTTGTCACAAATTCCGTGCCTGGAGGCAAATATGGGTAGTGGTCCAGCGCCTCCGGTGTTGTGTAGCTGCCGGACAGGTACTCTGGCAAATATGGCGATCTCGCAGCTACGATTGCAGCGGTGTTGCTATTCAGCGAGGCGCAGCGCAGACCAGAGGTCGGTTGTTACCGTTTAGTAATTCCGAAGCGTCTAGGACCGAACAGGATTTGTTCCTGCAGATGCCTTCTGCAAAGGTTGAAAGTCTTGAAGTTTCGCCTCGAGTCTGAGCCTAGGCAGCCTGTGTTGTGCTACCATCTCGAACGAATTGCTTGCTGCTTGGCAGGCGCGCTCTCAGACCAGCACCAGCCACTTGGACATGCCGGGCCGGGAAAAGAAAGTCGACAAAGAACAACCTGCACGTGTTGTGCGGCGTAAGGAAGTCAGAGCTCACAGCCCAGTCCAGGTATTGTTTCAGCTGAGAAACTCCGGGCTTTGACGCATTCTGTGAAGCCACCCAGGCAATGGTGTACTCCGTGAGCCTTACCTGAAGGCTGCCGATAATAGTTTCAGGTTGCGGGGAGCTATGCGGAAGTTTGCAGGTGATCGAGACGGACTAGAATGGTGTAGGCCACGCTTACACAAGGCACACCTTGAACCCACCACAGGCCTGATCTGCAAGGCTATGCGACTTGAGGCATCTAGAGCTGACCTTCGACACGATGGCTTCGTGTTCTTGTTTTGGAAACCGTCAAAGTTAATGTCCGAGCCCTTTGCAAAACGCCAGATCATCCACTTCATGCGATCCATGGAATACCAGGACCCAGGGATCTAGTTGGAACTCCATGAACTGTTGTCGGGAGTCTGAGAGACACAGGATCGGGGTCGGGGCTTGCAAAGTAAGAAGCGAGGTAGGCATGGCAATTGACCGCTTTCTTGTCCTTGGCCTTCCAGTTGCGAGCAGTCTCCGTGGTTTAACAGGGTGCAGCTGCTAGCGAGCAAAGCACTCTAGCTAGCAGGACGAGAAGGACAGGCCCATCGTACTCGGCAACTTGATCAACACGTCGCCGGGGCAGCAATTTGCTCGCCAGACTTCTTGATGCTATCCCCACAACTGAGCTTAAACTGGAATCTGGAGTTCGGAGTCTTGAGCGCATGAAGACTGTAAAGCTTAAAGCCTGCCACGCTGATCACCCCTATGCCATCTAAAATCCAAAACATGCATAGGTTGCAAACCCGGCTCGATCTAGCACAGCAACTGCCCTGCTAGGATTGGCCAGTACCCGTATGCCTCCCCAACGGTCTTCAACTTCTACATGCCGGACCCGAGGGAGAAGGTTTAAGATTTGTGGCTCGGGACTGGATGTTGGCCAAGTGCTTGAAAGGCCTGGGGCTAAGTAATTCTGGAGTCGGGTTGGTTGTGATAGGCCCCATCTTAATTAAGCCTTTTCCGAACCCACACGTGACCCTGAGCACGTGAGCCTCTTCGATAGTTTCTGAGACGGTTCGCTCAACTCGCGACCCCAAATCCGGGACCAAGCTTACTCACATGTGTCGTAGATGTTGATCGCAGTTCACACACGTGCACTGTATCTGATCTTGTGTGCCCGCCACGTCATTGCTTTGAACTGTCATGCGGATTTTTGTCCACCACTTCATTACTTGGAACTCAGGTTTCTGATTGCTTCGAGCATCAATTGATGGTTCCTGTTTTGAACTCTCAATCTGTGGTTCTTACCGCCACTTCATTGCTTTGAATTCTCAATTTCTGGCGTTTGGCTTTCTACACACTGAAGAAGGACACATGGTTTCACTGATCTCCGAACATACGCAACTTAAGAGCAGCTTCTCAATGACCACGCCACTGTCGATCGCGTGAGCCTGACCGGGGGGGGGGGTTGGAGCCGAACGTAATGCAAACTGCACAGACTGAGCCTGGGGTTCGACGTTCTCGGGAAGCCTCCCGACTTTCTGGCTAAGCCTTGGCTTTCATCCCTGCACTGCCCTGCACTAAGTCTTCGACATCGAAGATGACTCTCAAGCGTAGCCTGAGGGGCATGCAACACTTCGCGTGAGTGCACGACCGCGAGCATGATTCCCAACAGCTTGGCCAAATCCTGCCAGGAATTCCGGCCAGATGGCTTCCCCGAAGGCTTGGTTGCCCCGGAGTTCCAGGTCTACACGGCCCCGAGCCTTCCCAGAATTCATGCCTTGGGAGATGTATCGGCTTATGATGTGCCGTGCGCAGTTGGTCTATGTCGTTCTGCTGCCTCAGGAATGCATTGGCCTTTGCCAACGGCATGCACTCATTGATCAACCAGGGTCTCAGCAACTGCGCCTCTCGGCATGCTCATCCGATTTGCTCGCCGCTGGTGCTGGGACGGGTCTTGCTGTGCACGGAGCCTCTCAAGCCTCCCGAAAGGATGATGGCTTCGGGGTCTATGTCGGGGACTGCTCTGCCGGCACTACGACTTTCGCAGAGAAGTCGGACCCTGTGACATGCTCACGTGCTCTATTTACTTGTGAATGTGTGGGCATTGTGGGTACAGGTGTAATATATGCAAGTATATGTCCGAGCCATCCGTCTCCACATGCATCTGCCAAAGCATCCAAGCTGCTTTTAGCTTCCGAAATTTGCACCTCCATAAGAGTCTGCTCGCGCATTCTTAAACAAACACAACTACCGGCGCCCTAAAACCCGCAGGCCGAGATCCCCAAGCCAACAGCTTTGAATCCCTCAGCTCTAAGACCACGACCACCTTCTGGTGACACAAGGGACCTGACAGCCTGACAGTCACGGACCTCCTTGCTTTTTGTCTACAAAGGCACTTAACCCGACTTAGCCCTCGCCCCGGCCGAACTCGTGATGATGAATGAGACTAGGTCCAAACCCTAGGAGGAAGAGGTTTGGTTGGGAAAGTCAAGAAGGCTTCCGCTTCCAGGCAATAAGCAAATGTAGTACGATGCGCTCGATACCACATTGGCAGGATGCTTTCGCCTGCGCGCCACCACGCGCAAAAACCGTAAATCCCAAGAGTTGAGCCGCGCGCAGGACATGGGCGAAGCCTTGGCCGAGCTGGATCTGCTGCTCACCGGCGGCCGCCTCGAGGTTTCACGCTTGGGATGAAGCAAGCTGGGATGCGAAGAAATCTGCTCGATGAAGCGTAGAGCGAAACTCGATGGCTACAGCCATGAAGCTGAGTTCGGATTACGAGCTGTCATTGTCATGGCCTCATGTTCAGGAATCTGGTTGTTCTGATAATGATCACGAAGAGAGAAGGATGAGGGTTCTTATATGGCTGATGACTCACGTACAGACATGGGCCCATATGCCCAGACTTCGCTCCCAAATTACTAGTCCCTTAACTGCGCACCACGTCGCACCTAACATGCACCAACATGGCTTTCCTGTTCGTTACGCAACTTGTCAGAGCCCCTGGTGCTATGCTGATCGCAGGGCTCGGCGCTCTGTGAGAAACCTGCGAGAACCCAGACCTGGCTCTTACTTCCCAGCAGCTTCATCACTCCGAAACGTCAAAGCGGAGGCGAATAAGGGCAACGTGCAGGCGGGCTTCAAGCGCGATGGTTGGAAGGCCCCATGGGCAATCGAGGTTGCACATGTTCGTCCACCCACATTTCATGTGCATCAAAAAGCCGACCTCCCAGCCCCATGCAGAGCACACCTCGAGGATGCGCAGAAGGTGATCATCCTGACGCCAGAATTCAACACATTGGGCCACCTGCCATGTCAGAGCATTTGTGCTTTCCACTTGAGGTCAAGCAGTTACGTCTTGTTGTAGGTTTGGCCGGAGAAGCGCCCCGCTTCGCTGCATGATGTTGGCAGCATGACAACAGCCTTGAAAGATCTGCAGAATTGAGCCAATTCTAGGACCATTCTGAGGCAGTCCCTTGCCAGACGGCGTGCGGCCTCCCTCTCCACCTCCAACCCTCGGTGCCACCTCCAGTTACAAGGCAACGAGAGCGGACGCAACGCAGGGTTTTGAGACTTCGAGAATGTTCGCAGATTTTGCATTTGGGGCTGTCGGACTTGCCGCAGAAGGACGCAGGAACTTGGAGCTGGCTCGGGGTTCAGTGGTTCAGTCTGTGGTTGCTTGGAGTCTGAAGCTTTGGGAGTGGGGGTCCATCTTAATGACTTGCCTCAGCCTCTTGATGAGGGCTCAAGGCGATCTTCTCTTTTTTTGGAGCTTTGGATTTCAGCCATCCGGGTTGAGGGCTTAGGATTGAGAGCTTTGGATGTCGCGTTCAGCGCTCAGTGTCCGGGATCGCACTTAATTTGCACGTCGAGCTCTAGAGGCTCAAGATGAACAAATCTGAATGCCGTACTTGCCTGAGACTGAGCCTCCATTGCCAGGCTGTGGTTATGCTTATGCTGAAGGGTGGCATGGACAGCTTCCAGATGCTGGTGGAAAGCTCGGAAGACTTGACATCAGCGCTTTTTCAGGGACATGCCCTACATGAGGTTCATCCGTAGTTTGTTTTGGGCATCAAGAGAGAGTGTGTCTCCCAGAGATGATGTGTATTGAGAGAACAAGCCTTCAATCAGATAGTACCTGAGTTGGAAGTCGTCGAAGGACACAGTGCCACGAGATGTTTCCATTATTGTCTATTGCTGTGATATCTGGCTTTCAGGGTGGGTGAGATCCCTGACCCATGTATTGCCTTACGGTTCAACTTTGGCAAACAGCATCCAAACCACTTCTTCTTCTTCTTCTTCTGCGGCTTACGCACGAGAAAGCGCTCCGCCTTGCTGCTTTCCCTAAGCTTTAGCTCAGAATCACCAATATATAAGCTTCCCATGTGCTTCGAAGCCCGAGTTCCAGGTGCCCTTGAACTGCCCCCTCTATGACGAGTACCGCGGCGTCCGCAAGAGCATTGCTTTCTTACCGGAGGAGACAAGGGTGAAGGAGTCTTTAGGGAATCCCAGCTTTCGGTGGGGGTTCGTTCTGTATGCTTCTGCTGCTATGGTCCCTAGGAGTCGCTGTATCATCATAAGCACAGAACAGCCCCAAGCATTAATGCACATGTCAGTTTACAGCACCATACAGGCAGTGAGAATAACAGGTGAACTATGATGACAGGGAGGATGATGAAGATGACAGGAACACTAAGGATCGCCGGCGATAACAGCAACGATAGTGAAGGGACGTCGTAAGACCTGCTGCCTTCGACCAGCCAGGAGATGCATCAGATCAGCTCTGCGGAGCAGGCATGCTCAGAGTTTGGCATCCACCCGAAGCTTCCCGCCCTGAAGGACACCTTGTCTTTCCTGACGCTTTCAGGGCTTTTGGGGGCAGAAGTGGGTTCAGGAGCTCTATGACGAGGGAAGCCTTGCCTTCATCACCGACGTTGGGTCACTCGTGGAGCCGCTGACTCCGGACATGATCGGGAAAGGCGAACCCGACCTGAGCAAAGGTACTCCTAGTCCAAGACCCCACGCTCCGAACCTCGCGCCCGTCCTCGGACAGGCTTCCATGCGAAAGGCGGCAGTGGTGAGACCTGCCAGGGCCTTTTCAGCCACAATGTCTCCTGACAGCACTCTGAGAGAAGGGATTTCAGGAGGGATCCTTCAGCATGCGATGGCTGCGTCATGTTCCACACGACGTGTTGAGTTGAGCGTTGCTTGGAGTGGCCTCGTTGCCCAACGAGGGCACATCCAACTCCCAGTCGCCGGGGGCCTGCGACTGCAGCCCACGCTGAAAAACTCACATAACTTCTTCACTCGGCCCCCTGAAGCTTGCACACGTCACACGGCTCAGGATCAGCAAAGAGCTGCAGAGACACTGACATGCCAGTTGCCCGGCCCAGTTATGACTCATTGAGTTCTTGCTATGAGGGCATGGTGTTTGCCTCAGCCGCCTGCTGAGTTAATGTGTAGCCATAGCCCAGCAAGGGAACCGCAGCCCTCAGCCCTTGAAGTAATCTCCCTGACAGGTATGCCACGGCCGAGTTTAAGGGTGCAGGTGGGCGCATCGCCGACGCGGTGGCTGCTGGCTCGGAGAAGTTCAACACCATGTCCTTCTCCTTGCTCTTTGGCTTGTATAGCTCAGCTGACCATACTCCATACTCTCTGGGTCGAAGCAAAGCGGCCACTTTTGCCACGGAAGGATCCTACCCGGTTCAGCATGACAGGATCTGTGTGCATGGAAATAGGCAAAGCGAAGCCAACAACGTTGTTCATGAACTTCGAGAGCCCCTCAACTCAAGTACTCCATTCCACCAGTAGCCCAACATCTGCCGAGGAAGGGTTCTGCAACGTGGCCTCAGGGATTTGACGTCCCAGGCGGTGCGGTGGGAATGTTTCGATCTGTTGTCCAGGCTTTTGAATTAGTGCAGTGCAGGGCCGAAGTGTAACGCCGTAAAGCTATCACGCACTACCACTCTGTGTGGATTTGGCATTACTGGCTTGGCGTGACACCGCGGTCGAATAAATATTCTACAGTCTGGAACGAACTCACAAGAAATGTCTTGTTCTTGAATTGCCTTGTGCAGCGGCCCCTACATCTTGCAGGTGAGGTCCTGGGGCAAAATTCTGGCGGTGGTAACTCCGCCTTCCCAGAGTACACGCGTCTGCAGGCCTGACACGGAAGACCTTCGATGCCTTTGGGTAGGAGAATTTTGCAGGGGCTCCATAGGTCACCAGCCTTCATTCTTGGGTCCGGCTAAGCCATGATTACCTTCCATGCCAGACGCCGTTTCACGTCGCAAGCCTTTCCGGTCTTTTTCTGCCGGACTGACCCTGAGCCCAAGCTGTCAGGACATCGTGAACAACATCACGGGCACTCGCCATGGCAACGTCTACTGTGGCTTGGCCTTGAAGGTGTCGGAACTTCAAACTTGTCTTATGTAATCCATGACGGCTTGTCTGGCCCCATGTGAATCTTGCCGGTGTCACGCTGAAGCCCTCCACCCCTCATCTTGATCCGAGCCTCAAGCTGTGGATGCACGTTGAAGGTCTGAAGATCCACAGACATCCCAGCCCACATCCCCACCAATCTGCAGCACTCTGATCATAGACGTTGCAGTACCTCAACGTGGCTACAGTTGAAGCCCGAGGCGAGGAGTATGGCAAGCGCCTGGCGCAGGCCATCAGCTTCAACATCGGCTTGGAGCCTGGGTGGAGGGTGTTGCCGAACATGGTGCTGGTACCCTGATTTTGAAATGCTTGACTGGCTGTGTCAGCGCAGGATTTCTTTCATGCGTCAGCCATGTGCGTGGCCACATGAACGTCGCTCGCTGTCCGTCCGAATCTATCCTTCTGATATTCACTGCAGGAGAAGCAGCTCGAAAATGCGGAGTTGGCGACCGACTACGAAGTCAAGGCCCAGCAGCCTTCTGAGTCTATCAAAGGATTTTCTCCGGTTAAGATCTTAGCAGCTTTCTTTCGGATTGATGTGGGAACTGCAGCCGGGCTCCCTAGTGCACGTTCCGGCTGTTTCAGAGGCAGAGTGTGTTCATTGTGAGTTCCATATGAAGATGAAGCCTCCAAATTACTGTGAAAACTAAGCCCATAAAAGCCCATCTCTGAATGCATCAGCCGCACAGGGCTACCAGCCCCTGAGGAGCCAGTTCAAGCACCGTGGCCGCAGATAGGTAGGGTGCTGGGTTTCTGCAGATAGGCCTTCAATACCCGTCAATGCTTATGATAATGCAGCAGAGTTTGTGGCACACGAGAGTGCTAGCACTTCCCACTTCAGGTCCCGGTAGGCAACGTCGGCTGGATAAAGATTCGCACTTCTGGATTTCAGCGAATTCACATCCTTTCACAGCAGCATGTCATAATTCAACATACATTACGGAACCTCAGGAACGTGAACTTGGAGACGAACCTTTCCCCTCGTGCTAGCCGAACACACCTTGATAGAACACACCTTGATAGGTTGGATCTGGCAGGACCCTCGCTCTCGAGCAGATAACCGGCAGTCCTACACATCAGACCGCCACCACTGGGGACATGAGGGCCTCCAGGCCTGTCTCAACCCCTGACAGTGCAGCCCTTCTGTCCTCAGCCCGGCCAAGTTCAGAGGAATGCGGCCACACTGATTGCGGCGCGTGTCGAGCGCCAGGCAGAGCGCGACTTCTTCTTCATCGAGGCCCCGGTTTGGAGGGTTCTGTGGGTTCTCGGGCTGTAAAGCTTCGGTTTTGGGGATTCGGGATGCAGTGTAGAGTGTCCAAGGGATTTCGCGCAAGACGGCACTAGCTCTCGGGCTGCATTTCGGGGCTGTTTACGTGATGTGTAAGCAATTGCAGCGTTTTTTTTTAAAACATGCCTGGAGAATCGACGCGCGCAGTTCGGCCTTGGGCTCTCAAATGGGTTCTCTTTCTGCTCTGCTGTGGCTTTCAGTCAGTGTCAGTCTCAGTTCCAGTCTGAGAGTCAGAGGACGGCGGCTGGGACCATCACAAGGGCGTCGAGAACGCCTTGGCCGGGAAGTTCGAGAGTCTCAGCGAGGCGCTACGATTCGCTTCGGTGCGCGAAGAATGCCCGTGGCAGTATCTCTTGCGCTTGTGCCGTTTAGAACTCTTCTGCGGCAGTACAGCTTTGTTCCACCATGCTTTGGGGAGAGTTGTGGTTGAATTGCAGGCAAGCCATCAGCTCGGAATGCGCCTGATTTTTCAAGAGCCGAAATCCATGCTCATCACTCTGCAGAGCGCAGATCCTCCCGAGATGGCTCTCGCTCGGCTCCTTTCCTCGGCTTTGGGGATAATTTCTTCATCCCCTTTGCATTTACTGCTGGTGCCCTTTCTCCATCGGAGTCTGCCCAACCAAAATAATTAAATACTGTGGTTGAACTTTAGGGGCCGCGATCAGAAGGCACTGGCGGAGTTCGTGGCTGAGCTGAAGGCGCAGAACATCTATGACAGCGTGGTGATCGCGACGCAGCGTGGCCGGAGTGTGGGGTCTCATCTTCCATCTGTGCCCCGGGTTTGCGGGTCTGGGTTCCCGGCCGCAGTGTGGGTCGACTCAAACTCAAAACCCAACATGTCGGAGCCCTTTGAACTTTGTCGATTTGGGTGTTTGGGCCTACAAGAGTGTGACTCAACACCGAGCCCCAAACCCCGAGGCACTCGGACTTTGCCCGGACCCTCACGCCCAACAGCAATGCTGGTACCGACCATGGATGGGCCGGTATCCAGCTGCTTTGGCAAGGTTTGTAAATCCGGATCTGGGGGTCGTAGGCTTACCAGGCAGGCTAACCATCTCCAGAAAGTGAATCGGGCATGGCATGGGGAACATGTCAGAAGTGCTTCATCGACTTGGTGCCAGTCTACTGCTGGGCAAAGGGTTCTGCTTACGGGTCAAGCGGGCTTCAGGATCATGCTAGGGCTGCTAGGGATGCGAGAGTCTAGGTGTTTCAGCCCAAAGCTGGGTTTGACTTATCTGTGCTAGTTCCGACAGCCCGACGTCAAAGCCCGTCAAGTTCAAGTCAGAAAGCTGCTAACCCTCAACCCGTCACCGAGAGAGCTTAACCTAAACCTGAGGCCAAGTCCCAAAACCAACCTCAACGTCCTCACTGCACCTGAGGGTGGTGTTGTCTGGTGCCATCAAGGGCGGCGAGATCTACAACGCCTTTCCGCACTTGGCCGAGGCGGGTGCGGGTTTGTGTGCGAGGCCTTGTGGGAAAGCCCGATGATGACTTCTGGTGTCATCTTCGACCCATCAATGAGCCAGCCAGTCTTCCCTTCCTGCCCGGTATCGGTATCGTCCGCTTTGTCTGTCCTCTTCATCTTCTTTCACCGCTTTCATCAATATACCGACCTTCTTTTGGTGGCTCCGCCTTCCTGCAGGATTCTCCCATGGATGCAGGGCGCGGGCGGCTGATCCCCAGATACCCATTGGAGAACATGCGGCCCAGCCGCGGTCTAGAGCGCAGGGTGAAGCTGTTAGGCTTCAGACTCTCGGTTCTTGCTCCTGGCGGTGTGGTGCATCGTTCGGGGTGCTGGGGGTCCCGCAAGTGCTGTCGGGCAGACTCCAAGAACCAACTCCATGGTTTTGCTTTTGCTTCTTCATGTCGTTCGTGCAGAGAGGGAGGGCAGAGGAAGATGAAGACAGTTTCTCTGTCCGACTCGTGAAAAGTCCGGCCCCGAGGATGGTCCCCCTGGCAGAGTGGATGGGCATGGAGCCAGCCCAGCGCTCGCAGGCTGTAGGAGCGAAACTCGAGCAGACGTCGGCTTTCAGATGCAGTTTGGCGTTGTTGGCTTGATCCTTGCTTGATCTGATTGGGGCATTGTCCAACATTCGCCTGCCGATTTTTTTTGCTGGCACAGCATCGGCACCTTGCGCTCAACATAGGCGGACGTACTTGGAGAACTTAAGGCCCTTCTTTTCTGGCTTTGTAGGGATGTTCATGTCAGAGTTCTCTCATGTCATACTGGGGGTGACGCCCTAGCGAGGTTCGGCTTTTCAATATTCCTCGCACGCAGGTGTTCCCGAACCTGGCGAACTTCAATTCCACCCACCTCCTTGAGAAGCAGACGCTGTTTCGGCCTTGAGTAAGCTGTATGCTTACGGGTGCCCGCGACCTTGCCTCCTGATTAGTTATTCCATACTCTGCACTCACGTACAGGACGACACATCTCATCGATTCGGGTCAGGGGGCCGGAGTACTATCTTGCTGATCGCGTGCCTTCCCCAAGTTCACTCCAGAACGAAAGGGTTGAGCTTGGCGATCCCTTTTCTGTGTGGGGGGCTTGAAGCCTCTTGGCAACCGGAGCCACCAGATGTGCAAACTTTTCATCTAATCAAGCTGAAGTCTGAACTCAAGAGATGCCCGAAACCTCGTAGCGTAGCTATGGAAGCCAAGGCATCGGCTTAATACCGGGCTGGCATAAGGCGCAACTTCGATCAGGCAAACGTAGATACTTTTTTCCAATTCGATACCAATCCTCCGATGTCGTATGCGCCGTCCGAAGCCCCAAGAAGCATGCGCAAATCCCTTCCTTCAGAAGCCCTCAATCCCGTCTGGCTCCAGTTTCCGAGCCCCGCATTCGCACTTGTTTTGATTGTTGCCTACTGTAGGGTTGTGGGACAACTGCCATGCTTTGTCGCAGGTTTGGGTTCTTCCGTTTGTCCATCTTTCTTCCTTCTGGATGTGCCTCATTCCCGAGGGTTGGCAGTCTTGTCCCAGCATAATTCGTTGATATGCCTAGGTTGGTGCCGCTTGCGGCTTCTGGCAAGTTGTGTGCAGGTGCAGTTGCTTGCCACGGGAAGATGCGCAATGGGCAAACTCCGGTGCCTAATGGTTTGCAGATGTAGATTGGCGCCTCATGTCTCGCGTGGCCAGCGGCATCTCTCTGCGGCTGCTTCTCCGCCAGCTCGCCCCCTGTAAAGTCTTGCTCCGGCTGCTCATAGCCAGCGAAAGGATTTTGCCTCCGGTTTCGCAGTCTAACCCAAGTATGGGGAACTGCTGCGCAACTTGCAAATTGAAGTCAGCATCATTACTTGAAATTCCATGTCTTGAAGGGGTCTGGCTCCACCGGCACTATCTTGAGATGTGGCTGTTCGCCCTCGGAGCAAGAAACGGGCTCGTGCAGAAGCGTCCCTTGCCATGCAATGTCGGGATTCTCCAGGAGGAGGCGTACATCGCCCGCCGGCTGAATTCAACTTGAAAATTCGGGGCCATTATAGCCGGCCCTGGGTCTCCACATGACCTTCTTGCGCTGTACCGCATCTACTGTCTAGCTTGTGGATTCCCACGCTCGCTCGTTTTCAACAGGCGTGCTGTCCAGCCGAGCTTCTAGACGCTCACCCGAAGTGCTCAGAAACTCGAGGGACTGGAGCCTGCCGGCATAGCCAGCAGCGTGAAAAATGCACTCGGGAGGGTGAGCATCAGACCGCCAAGTTGTGCCACTTTTGGCAAAGCATCAGCCGTGGTTTGCTCGTTTTGTTCGCAACACTTATGCTCGCTTGTCAGACACCGGAACAGGCTAAGCAGCAGCTGATCTGTGCTGGCAAACGGTGGCAAGGCTGCTTCGGTCAAGGGCGTCGCAATCACTAGGCTTCTTCCGAGAACGGCAGAGCATCTCTCGTGCTTTGCTAGACTAGTGTAGTTGTGGAGGGCCTGATGCTTGCATCCGGAAGGCATCGCCTTCGGAGATAGCCATAGCAGCGAGACGTTTGCAACTTCATTTAATTCTGGAAGGTATCGCCTTTACGGATAGTTTGACTCTGCGCGAGGCGGCTGGTGCCAAGGCTGACAAATCTCGGCAGTTTTAGTAAAGGGCGGCTATGCCTGGAGCTTGTGAATGCCTTTGGGATTCAGGATGTAAGTTGCATAGTAATCATTGTTAATTATCATTGTTCTTTGTTATTTTTGGTGATCGCATAGCCGTAACGGTGGCAGCAGCGGCAGCGGCAGCGTGCCGCCATAACCCGCAGCAGCGGCGGCAGCGGGGCCGGTAGCATTTGCTGCAGCTGCAGCGGCAGCAGCAGTGGCACGGTAGCAGTAGCAGTAGCAGTAACAGCAGCAGCGGCAGCAGAAGCAGCAGCAGCAGCAGTAGCCGGACAGGGGCAGGGGCAAGTGCACGCGCAGGCGCAGGAGCACTAGCACAACACTAGCACTCGCACTCGCAGTCTCAGTCGCAGTCGCAGTCGTCGTCGTCGTGGCAGTGGCCGTGGCACCGCCACTGCCCCTGCCACTGTCGCAGAGAGCAGAGGGCAGTGGCAGTCGCAGTAGCAACATCGTCGTACTGGTAGTAGTAGTAGTAGTAGTAGCAGTAGCAGTAGCAGTAGCAGTAGCACTAGTAGCAGCAGCAGCAGCAGCAGTAGCAGAGAGTCGTAGATGTCAGGCAATACTGCAAGATGGTAGTCCA